AGTTCAATGAAAGAACTTGGTACCAAGGTTCTCCATATTTCTCTCTCTATATATATATATATGTGTGTGTGTCTATATACATGTATATATATATATATATATATGTATATGTATATATATATATGTATATGTATATATATATATATATGTATATATACATATGTATATGTATATATATATATATATATATATATAGAGAAGTTTTCGGATGCGAAAACTGTTCGCACGGTTACTGTGCGAAAACGAAGAATGGCCTTTGGATTTTCGTTTTCAACCATGGCCGTTGGATTTGGTGCCCAATTCCCAAAGTGAAAACTTAACTCCCCGTAAAAGCCCCCTCTCTCTCCCCAGAACCCAAACCCTCTTCCTTCCCAAATCCCTCTCCTCTCCTTCTCATCTCTTCACGCCGTCGAGCCGCCGACCGACAACTCCTCCTCCGCCGACCGACAACCTCCTCCTCCGCCGACCGACAACTTCCTCATCCGCCCTCAACATCCTCCGCCGACCGACAACACCTCCGCCGACCGACAACCTCCTCATCCGCCTTCAGCCGCCGACCGACAACTCCTCCTCCGCCTTCAACCTCCTCCTCCGCCTTCAGCCACCGACCGACGACTCCTCCTCCGCCTTCAACCTCCTCCAGAGGTTACATTCACGATTTAGGGTTTTGTTATTGGTCTCTTTTTATTTGTTCTCGATTAAAAATTGATTGATTGTTCTTCTAAATAATTGTGAAGATGGGTTATTGAGGTTAATGGAGCGCAGAAATTAACTTCGTCATCGTATCTCTTCACTGGGGGAATAGAAGAGGGGGCGGACAAATTAATCAGGTGAGCTTCGATTTCTTTTGTGTTTAGTATATGTTGGATTTTGTTATCAGTTTGGTTCTTTGCAAGTGACACATTTTAGTCAAATGTTCGAATCCTATTTTAGACAAATGTCAGCATGGTTGCAAGTGACACATTTTAGACAAACTCCAGGAAAATCTTCGAATCCTATTTTACTGCAAGTGACACATTTTAGTCAAATGTCAGCATGGTTGCATCTACTGCCTGATACCATGGAATTACTTCAGTAGTTAGATTAAACAACCACCTCCATCCTGTCAACTTACTGAATTTTTCTGCATCTTGTTTTGTAACTAAAGACATCCCGTGCAACTTATTTTGCACTGTAAACTCTACTATTTCATCTTTAGTTGTGCAGACTTGGATGCAATGAAACAAATAGAACTTGGGAATTGGTCACTTGTAAATTTTTATGTTACTGCATACACAGCAATAGTACTAAACAAGCCTAAGCTGGTCTATGCCTTTTGCAGCATAGAGTAGTGATGCTGTTGACTTGAC